GGCACGGAGGGGCGGGGCGGGGTGTGTGTGTGTAAATGTTGCGCACTCGCTTTTCCTCTACCCCCGCCTTCTTCCACGGAGCTGGCGTGGGTCCCTCGCGGTCCGGCGGCGACTGTAAATAGAGCCTGGATGTTGTTTACATGAAGGATCGGCGGGAGGAGTCTGCGAGGAGGAGGCGGAGGAGGAGGAGGAGGAGGAGGGAGGAGAGAAGAAGCCCGGAGTCCCCGCGGCGGCGGTCCGGGTGAGGGTGAGCCCCGCGTGGCATCCGGGGACGGGGCTGCCACGAGGCTGAGACGCTGGACCCTGGGGTAGGAGAGAGAATGGGCGCCGGGTGGAGACGGGGGGCTGCTACGGTGGCGTTTTTAGCTTGCAACCTGCCACGCAGATTCTCCGGGCGAGGAGGGAAGAGGGTGTGTGGGGAGGGCGGGGAAGCCTCGGTTTCTACACGTCCCCGCTCCGATCTCCGGTCTTTCCCGCTTCTCTTCAGGTTCACCTGTTTGTTTTCATCAGCCAGAGCTTGCAGTTTTTTATGTAGTCATGAGAAGCTGTTTCTTTTATTAGAAACACTGGGGAGGGGGGTGTAGTGCTGTAATTTATGCCGGTCCAGGTCGGTTTTCAAGAAGGGGGAGGGGACTTGGCGGACACCGCCTGCTCCTGGCCTGAGCTGACCCCAGGGCTTCTCCCTGCCTTCCCGGGCCAAGGAATCCTTTCCGTCACTCAGCCACCCGCTCGCCAGGAGCCACCTTATTGGAGAAGGACCACACCTGCGCGTGTTCCAGCTTTGGAGGAGAGGTGAGCCAAGAAACCAGGGAATCCTCTGTTCCCCAGAGCTTTTAGCCAACCCCTCACCCCAGAATTGGCCAGAAAGTGTTTCTTTCACCTGCCGATTGCGCTGGGCACATCCATCCCCCTGCCTGGCAAGTTGTGGTCTACAAATGTGTTGGGATTTTCTCTTTTCTCTGGACTTTCACCCCACCAACCAGCAACTAACTGCTGCGTTTAGGTTGAGAGACAGGTGAACG